GTCCTTCCCTACTTTGTCTGCCTAGCAAAATCCTAAGGTATCTCATAAAGCCAAGCTCAAATATTACTTCTGTGAAGTTGAGTAATTATCCTTTCACCCCAGTAGAATGCATCATTGCATCTTTTAGTGTCCCGTATGGTCCCATAGTATTGTGAATGTATGTCTGTCTATCATCGCATTTATCACATTATATGAATAATTGTATCTGTCTGCCCAACTATGAACTTCTTAAAAAGTGGGACTATTTTATTTTTATGTCATCTTAAGTCTTCAGAGCAGAGCACAATGCCCAGTCCCTAACAGGTTCTCCCTAAATTAATTAAAGGTAAGTAATGCTGCTTCCCAATCAGCTCCTCCCCTTCCGTGCCATCTGGATAGATCTTACTCAGTTCCATTTGGGAATGTTTTTAATAGGCCTGAGAACCAATTCTCACCTTGGCCTCTTTGTGATCTCCCTTGGATGGAGGGTCCCCTTGGGACTCAGCCCACAAGGTACTGTTGCAACTCACATGGGCTAACTGCTTTTCCTGTCACCTGGTACTATGCCTCAGATGGCCTAATCACACCCAATATGTGGCCCTCCCACCCAAACACTGAGGCAATTATAGCTAAAAACAAAGTTCCCTGAATTTTCAGTTAATGTTAAGTGGTCAAAAAGCTTTGGATCATAATATATTAATTTATGTCTTGAGAAACACAAGAAAGAGCCACAGAGCCAGAAGAAACTCTGAAAATGTACCTACTGCCCCTAAACAGAATCTACAACCTTGCCCAGAAATCTGTCCACACTTTACTCACCTGGGTGGCTCCTTATTCAGCTTCATTACTGTTCAGTCAATGACTAAATTTTTCCTAAAATATTTGTGGGAAATGGGAGTGTAATATGCAGGGTTTTATGGTATCCTTCCTCTCAAAGGGTTTCCTTATTTTAAGTTCATTGTCTCACACTTTGGTTACTTTCCAATTTGAAATGCTTTAGGATTAAGGAGCAAACTATATACTTGCTTCTCCCACCCTATGCCTCCTTCTCAGAAGTCAAGTTTATATCAGTGCACACAAAGTATAGAAGAGCAATCCTTGTTCCTAGGTAAAATAATAGTTAGAAGATATGAGGTATGTTCTGCATTAGGGACTGTCCAGAAAAAAAAAAAAAAAGACATGAGGTATGACTTCAAGGGCAATAGGAGAGCCCTCTCCAAATAAGAGTCTATGTTTGAAATTCCATATTGATAATTTCACTCCTTAGTTCCCTCTTAAGATGTAAAAACCCTTGAAAGAATGAATACTTTAAGTGAGTATATGTTATTTATACCTTAGTATGGAGCAGATTCTTTCTTGAAGGTAAGCTTGATCAAGGGGAAGGTAGAAAAACCACAAAAGGATGCACATAAGAAATGGACAGGATATGACTAGGGGTTAGAAAATGGCAAAGACCAGAAAGGATTAAAACATACACACACATACCCCTACACAATTTTCTCTAGGGCTGGCTTTGTAGGTAAGAGAAGTTCCTTGGAGAGACAACAATTGAGGTTTCTGATGGATACTATGCAAAGGCTAGGGGTCCTCAAACTTTTTAAACAGGGGGCCAGTTTACTGTCCCTCAAACCGCTGGTGGGCCGGACTATAGTTTAAAAAAAACTATGAACAAATTCCTGTGCACACTGCACAGATCTTATTTTGAAGTAAAAAAAAAATGGGCAAAAGCACCCACATGTGGCCCGAGGGTCACAGTTTGAGGACGCCTGGACATCAGACGATTTCTAAAGCCAGTAGAGACAAATTCAATTAATCAGGTGGTAGTATGAACTGCCCCAGCTGTACTGACTCTAGAGGTCACAAATTCCTCACTTTAGCAGAGATGGCAATAATTTGATTCACCGTAATGTTTCTTTCCTACCCATAAAAAAGAAGAGTTTTGTCTATCTTTTTGGGCATTTCCTAGGATATCCAACACACAACTAGGGTGTGTGTGTGTTTGTGTACTAAAGAAGGTGAATGACAATCCATAGTACAACCCTCTGCTTTCTGAATTTGATAGAGGACAAAATGAACTATGAAAGGAACATAATAAATAACAGAGTATCATCACAGAAAGAAAAATTGTGGAAAAAATGAAAGACTAGAATTTGGTGAGAACATGAAAACAGAATTAATTGCCTTTGGGTGGCACATCCCCCAAAGCAAAGCAAGATTGGTCTGATCTGCTGTTTCTCATCCCTGACTTTCTTAAATGAAATATAACGAGCGAGGTATGTATGTGTGGGAGGATTTACACTTTTTATACTTCTGTACAGTTTAAATATTTGTAAATATGTACATATTATTTTTGTAATTAAGAAATGTAGTGATAAAAGACATTGGTATAGAAGGGAAAAAGGAAGAAGTATAATTCAGGACAATCCAATAGGCTCCACTCCAAGCTATGGGGGACTAAGGTTAGCAGACTGTCAAAAATATATGGGGAGGAGAGAACTCTATCTACTCCTCAGGTTTAGTAATTGATCTTCTTTTTGCCATTCATACCCTTCCCCAGATACCTCACAGTTTGACATAACTTTCTAACAGCAGAGAAATCTAGGCTCCTGGAGAAGTAGACAAAGAACAAGGGGTGATGCCAACCTTTTGGAATGAAATTTCTCACCCTTCCCCAAATCTCTTCCTCAGTGATATCACCTCATAGATCCAGGCCTGGCTAACTCCATTAACTGCCTGGGAAATACCACAAAAGTTTCACCAACTAAGGTAAGAAGATCTCTTCATGTCTGAGGATCTCAAAGCTCCCTTTCCTGTGCAGATAACGAAATCATTCCCCACCTCTAAGTCAGAGATATGGTATTCACTATAGACCACATTAAGTGGCAAAGTGGACAAAACATCCTTCAAGTCTAACTTCTCAGGACATGAAACAGTATACCCAGCTACGAGGTCAAGAAAAAGTGCAAGGGCTGAGTTTGGAGCAGCCGACAGTCATAGAAAAAAATTAATTTACTTTCATATTCATTCCTACCCTGGGAGTACCAAAAAACTTCAAATTACCACATCTAAACACTAAAGGGAACAAGAGTGGGTACTCCTGACGAAGAGCCTCTAGTCTAGCCCACCCTTCAGCATTCCCAAAAGGGCCCATAACTGATACCAGGCCCTGCTTCCATTTCATCAACTACCTTAGTCTTCTATATTAGTAAGGCTTTCTTCGTTTTCTCCAGTTCTCCCTCACTAACCCAAATCCCTCTGAACACTACAGCCCTTTAGTTTTTATAATAGCCATTTCCCTGAATAATGCCTTTTACCCAACTGAAAACCCTTCTCAGGCCCTTCCAATTAGACAACTCTCCATAGACCCAGCCCCGGTTATCCTCAGGGCCCTGGCGGCAGGTTTGACCCCTCCTCGCCTCCCGGCAAATGGGCTTACCTCACCCGCTGCCCCGTCCCTTTCCCCAGCTCCTCCCTCTTCAGCGCTGCTTAATGAGGCCTGCCCCTGCCCTCACACAAGCTCCGGGCCTTCGGCGCCCAGCCCCCAGCCCAGCCGCCGCCAGAACCCAGCCGCCTCCCCGACTCACCAACTTCGGGGTCCCAGCCCGCCCGGTCCCCTCCTCAGCGCCCCCATTAGGCCTGCCGGGGCCCGGCCCCCTTGTCCCCTCTCCAGCAGACCACTCTAACCCCTTGCTTAGGCCTAGACCCGCCTCTGCTCTCAGGTCAGGCCATTCTCATCTCCTGGGCGCCTCTGCCCCAGCCCTTTGGGCTCCATCAGCTCGGTACCTGGGGCTCCGTCTCCCCCGTCGGCCCCAAGCCTGTGTCGAACAGACAAACAGCTGCAGCTCAACCAAACCCTCCTGCCCCTCCTTCTTCTCCTCGTCCTGGGCGGGGGCTCCAGCCAATAGCTCGATTACCCGCCTACTATCGAGGGTGGGCTAGATGTGCACTCATCCGCCAATCCTCTGGAGAAAGGCGGGTTTCTTGGGCGCTGTCACCAACAAGCACGAGCAAGGGACTGGACGGGCGGGGCCCCAAGCCAATAGATGGAGAGAAAGCTTGAAGATGGACAAGGTGAGAAGCCATTAAAAAGCGAGCTCCTGGAAACAGGGGGCGGTACACCGTTGACAGGCGTACGTATCAACCAATAAAATCTCGACACCCCATGACCCCCGCCTTTTGACTCATAAACATCTAATCAGGTGAGTGATGGAGGCGGGTCAAACTGAAACTTTAACCAGTACTGCAAAAATTCAGGACTTGACTGGCAGTCAAGGCGGGGTTAAAAGAAGTGTTTGGAAGGCCGCTACGGACCTTTGCCCCTCCCCCTGGATTTGGCGGGGGCTGCCTCTATTGCCCCGCCCTCCATGACAGATTTGTGGGCATAAAGGGAAATACCTCTCCTAGGGATCCGGAGCCTGGGATTTTTAGTAACCCTTACGTCAGTGCTTCCTCCTTTTAGTGAGGCTTCAGAGGACAGGAGTTTTTGGGGTGGCCCGGTCTGAGCTGTTTCTTGGTGAAGTGAGACAATGGAAACTACAAAAAGTGGTAGCTTGGAGATGCTTTAGCTCTTCATAATAATTTTTCATAGACAATTGATATTTTCTGAATCGTATGCAAATATGAGTAAAAGAATCTTCAGAAAACTTTGTGATATGCAACAAAAAGGAAAATCAGCGAGCTTACTGTGAATGCATCCTTTCTAACACTTAAATTCTGTAACTATTGCTTTCTATGCATGTGTACATGGGGTGTGTATCTGTGCGTGTTGGTTGAGGGTCAGGGGAAGTGCTGGTATGTGGGGAAAGTGAAGTAGGAAATATATAGGCTTCAGTTTCCCCGAGCCATAAAATGGGGATAGTAATACCCACTTTGCTCACCCTCAGCACTAACCAAAATGAGGTGGGGTGGGTAGCTCTGCAGAGATAGAGATTAGGAAAAGAGGGGTCAGAAATCAATTATCATATATACACATTCATATTCTCTCTCACACATTCTTTCAGTAAATAAAAGGAGGAAATAAATAAACTATAAAACTAGGAACATTGTTTTAATGAATTACAAACTAAATTACAAATAATGCTAATAGCAAGAGCACTCAAGGACAGGGGTGGGAGAGGGAGACAGAATCATAAAGGAAAAAAATACTTTTTTTTAAGCATTTGTATTACAAAACCCCATGGTGCACATGGCAACAAATCCACCCACTGACAAAAAAAAAATTACTATAACCTGAAATATAAATATAATTGTTCATCCTTCTTTTAAAGAAATATTTTTCCCAATGCCCCACTCAGTCACAGCCCTGAAAAAGTGTCAGCATTCTCAAAATGATGCTTAAACCCTAACTTCCACTCCTATGCGGTAGGTGGTGGCTTTCAGAGGAAGATGGGAGCAGGGATCCCTGGCAACTGAACTAAGAATCCTAAAAGGAAGAGAAAAATTCAAACATCTCTCACCTGCCTCATAAGGCTGAGGTGAAGCAATAGATCAAAGTGAAGTATAGTCCCTGTCCCAGAGCCTCCCCAACTCCTTTTGCCTGTAGGAGGGACATATAAGGGGACAGGGGCAATAATTTCTTCTTCAGTCTCACTGGGGCTGAGTCTTGAGTTTGCCAGCCTGTTAGGTGAGATGAAACATTAAAACTAGGGTATAAACTGATTGGATCTATTTTTTAAACCTAATTCTTTAAAATAGAGCCTCCACATTTTATTTTGCTTGGTTCTCAAAAGTTCCAAATTAGCGCCCCCCCCCATCAGCTGGCCTTTACAAAAACAGTGGCAGCAGGAGGCTTGGAGTCCCTGATACCCCAAACACAGGAAATAATAATTATGGGGCATTCAGAGATCAGGATTGCAAATCCAGTGTGGGGGGAGAACACTCAGCTTTGTTTTGTTTTGTTTTTTAATACCAGCCCTCCTTAGAAGTGACTTGAGAGGAGAGGGAGAGGGTGGTGAAGTCTGACTTAAGTGCATCTAATACTAAAATTTCCTTTCATTTTCACCTATTCCTCCCTTCCACTCCTGTATTCCCAGAGTTGTTTGGCCAAGAAGGGAAGGTGAGTGTTTAAGGCAGCCAGATGAGATCAGAGGGCCAACATGAGTTCAAACAGCCCAGAGCCAAGCCAGGTCAAGCCCACCATGGAGGAGAGGGTGAGATTGGGGGTGGGGGCTTAGAGAAGGACATCAGAGACGAAGGTGGGGTACTGGCTTGGTCACATCCTGGAAGAAAGGGTGAGTCAGAGCTGCCTTTGCCGAAATCCGCTTGTTGGGGTCATAGTGCAGCATTTGCTGGAGGAAGAGATGTATGCTGACTTCAATGATGTGATAGTGGACTAAATGGGCAGCAGGTGTTCCCAGAAATCAGGAAACCACAACTCCTTCTGCCCAACACAGAGTTCTCACTTCCCTCCTCCCATATCTGAACCAGCACACCCAAAGGGAGAAAAGCAGGGACTAGGGAGACAAAACACTGAGACCAGAGTTCCTGGTCTTATCCTTCCTTCATCCTGGAAAAGCCCTTCCCTGGGGGAATGAATGAGGGGAATTAGGCGCCCACTCCCCACTCTCACCGATAACAAGCTCCGTCCATCTTCATCCAGGGGAGGTACAACTTTACTAAAATCTTGCCGGGCCCACTTGGGGAAACTTGGCTTATAATCAGGCATAGAAGTAACTCCTGGCCAAACCACCTCATCTGGGGTCCCCAGAGTCCGAAAGATCCGGAAGAGTTGGTCAATCTCAGAATCACCAGGGAATAAGGCCCTGCGGGTCACCTGAAAATGGGGAAAGAGGAAAGGCCAAGACCCACTTTGACGTCAATCAAAACTGTCCCACGTACAAAGGAGGTTCCCACAGGCAGTGGAAGGTCAGCAGGGCCCCATGACTCCCTCCCCAGGGCCTTTCACAGGGTCAGTCACACAGAGCCTGAGACAATGAAGTCCCTTCATCTGTCTCCTCGCCCCCTCCTTCCTTCCCCCAACCATGGCTTTACAGATCCCCAAGGCTGGGTGGGGCTGGGAGAGGGTGAATGTCTGGGGTGCCACTGACATGTAGCAAAGGGATCCCAAGCCACTCACGGGGTGTGGGGTAGACACTGCGGTCATCCCCCCTCCTTGTGATGCAGCCACTTCTAGATAGGAGCACAGCGGGCAGAGACTGTGTCTTCCATTTCTTCTGTGTTCCCCACAGCACCTAGCATGGTGCTGGGTACACACTAGGTGCTTAACAAATATTTTTTGATGAATTGAGAGAGGAATATGGGCAATTGTAAGGTAATGCACTAGGGGATAAATGTACATTATATATGTGTATATGTGTGTGTATATATATTTATATATATAGGCTAATAGTCTCCAAGCCCCCACTTACTACCCAGATAAAGGACCATAAAACATGTTGCTGACTTGATTTGAAGACTCAGCCTACTGCACTGTTGTATTAAAGGGGATGGGAGCTCCCATATAAGGCTGGGCCTCAAGGATCCTTCAATCTGAAAAGCTAGAGGTTGAAGGGGGACATAATCTAGCCTGTAGTTTAAATGAAGGGTATGGATAAAGTGACTACAGTTGGCTTCACTGCAATCCTGGCACCTTATAATAAGGTCTACAAATCTTGAAATGAAGGAGACACTAAATATAACTCAATCTCCCAAATACATGCAGACTGAAGTTAAAACAGATGCAGAAATGATTTAGCTCATTTCAGAGATAAGAGATATATTATACATACTAAGACTGTTTGAGGGCATCCTAACATTGTGGTTGATATCAGAGGCAACAGTCGCATCCTTCCCCACCATCCCTTGGTGCTGCTGTAGAGAGAGAGCCCTGTGATGGAAGGGCCATAGATCTGGGCCAAGAAACAGTTCTGCTGTTCTTGGATTTGGGGAGGAGTGGGCTGGGTGGAACTTGGGCAAGCCTCCATACCATCTCAGCAAAGATGCAGCCCAGGCTCCAGATGTCCACGGCTGTAGAGTAGTATTTGCAGCCCAGGAGGATTTCTGGTGCTCGGTACCACAGGGTCACAACCTGGGGGATGAGAATAGGAAGGGGAGGGGTGGTTTATGGAGCATAGAGATTTCCATATCTTAGCTCCTCAATACTATTCTGCTAACTCTCAGCCTCTTAATAGTTTCCTTGCTTCCATTCTTCCCCTCCCTCTGATTTCCCCTAACAGAAATGACTACACACAGCCCGACACAGTGGCTTACGCTATAATCCCAGCACTTTGGGAGGTTGAGGCAGGATGATCACTTGAGCCCAGGAGTTCGAGACCAGCCTGGGTAACACCTTGTCTCTACAAAAAAATTCTTTAAAAATTAGTTGGGCATGGTGGCAGGTGCCTTTAGTCCCAGCTGCTTGGGAGGCTGAGGCAGGAGGATTACTTGAGCCCAGGAGTTCAAGACTACAGTGAGCTATGATCAAGCCAATGTACTCTGGCCTGGGCGACAGAGCAAGACCAAAGAAAGACAGACAGAAAGAAAGACAGACAGAAAGACAGACAGACAGAAAGACAGACAGACAGAAAGACAGACAGACAGAAAGACAGACAGACAGAAAGACAGACAGAAAGAAAGACAGACAGAAAGAAAGACAGACAGACAGAAAGACAGACAGAAAGACAGACAGAAAGAAAGAAAGAAAGAAAGAAAGACAGACAGACAGACAGAAAGATAGACAGACAGAAAGACAGACAGACGACAGACAGAAAGACAGACAGACAGACAGACAGAAAGAAAGACAGAAAGAAAGACAGAAAGAAAGACAGAAAGAAAGACAGACAGAAAGACAGACAGAAAGACAGACAGAAAGACAGACAGAAAGAAAGAAAGACAGAAAGACAGAAAGAAAGACAGAAAGAAAGACAGAAAGAAAGAAAGAAAGAAAGAAAGAAAGAAAGAAAGAAAGAAAGAAAGAAAGAAAGAAAGAAATACACACAACTTCTTAGCTCAGAGTTAGCATAGTACATGTCACACTGCAGACCATATTTTCCAAACCCTCAATTTGGGATCTTCCTGGAAAACTTGAGACAAATGATCATAATTTTAATGGTATGCCATTCAGCTGTCCTGGCTTGGTATCTAAGTCTAGTTAGCCCCACAGTATGAATTCTGTGCATGTCCTAAGACTTCTTTCTCAAACTTTTTCAACAGGGGGCCAGTTCACTGTCCCTCAGATCATTGGAGGGCTGGACTATAGTTTTAAAAAAACTATGAACAAATTCCTATGCACACTGCACATATCTTATTTTGAAGTCAAAAAACAAACGGGCAAAAATACCCACATGTGGCCTGTGGGCCATAATTTGAGGACGCCTGCCTTAGGGTGTCAGAGATTGTTTCCATCTACTAAAAGAGAAAATGTTGGCCAGATATCCTTAGTAACTTTGTGAATGCCCTTGTGAACACCTCCTGGGAAGCTCAGAGAAGAAAAGCACAGAGGGACTTAGAGAGGGACTCACCTCATGGGTGTAAGTACGAACAGGGACTCCAAAGGCTCTGGCTAGTCCAAAGTCTGCTAGCTTGATAGCCCCGTCTGCGTTGATAAGCAGATTCTGAGGCTTAAGATCTCGGTGCAGGACCCGATGAGAATGGCAGAAAGCTAGGCCCTGGAGCAGCTGGAATAGATAGCTCTGACAAGGGAGAGAGAGAGGACTGTGTTTCTCCACAGTGAGCAGATTAGGTTTGCTCTGTGCCCCCAAAGCTCTACTAAAGCTTTACTATGTTGGATTATAATACATGTTTACAAGCTATTTCTCCCATTGAACTGGCAGCCCAGTGAGGATAAGGACCAAACCTTACTCAGTTTTGTATCCTTTTTCCATACCCTGTGCCTAGCACATTGAAGGTGTTCAATAAATGTGCACTGAATAAATGTTTCTTGACAGATTGAAAGTATCTCTGAGAGTGAAGAATCCAGCCCTAAAACAGACAATAGAGACTCACTGGCTAGTTTTTCCACCAACAGGTGGAAGGGCTTTTTGGAGGAATCTACCAAATGCCCTCAAATCCCATTTACCTGAGTTTCATCTGACCTCCCACCTAAACTGCTAGGTTGACTTACTAGAGTTTCAACTTTGATTCTTCAGCCCAACCCTAGGATTAATGAGTATAATGAGCAGGGAAAGAGACACAAAATAAAGGAGTGTGTGTGTGTGTGTGTGTGTGTGTGTGTGTGTGCGCGCGCGTGTGTGTGCGCGCCCGCGCACGCGAGGGTTGGAAAAGAGGCCAAGATCACAAATTATGGCCCTGAACTGACTGTCTCCAGTACCCCAAGACATGCCCATGATGAGGAGGAGCTGATTAGAAGCATTACCTTGATGAGGGGAAGAGGAATGCCAGTGAGAGCAGAGGCATCCATGAATTTCTTGAGATCTTGGTGTAGAAATTCAAAAACCAGGTAGAGTTTATTTTCTGTGTGGATGACATCCAGCAGCCTAGGGAAGGGAAGGGAAGTTCCGGGAAATGGAGGTGAGGGACAGAAATGCCCATATTATACAGACATTACTCATCCTCCTTTTTTATCAGATCACCTCCCAGACACACACTTACTTGACAATATTAGGGTGGTTAAGCTCCTTAAGCAGAGAGATTTCTCGGATGGCAGTACTGGGTACACCCTCAGTCTCACTTGGAGAGGTTGGGAAAGAAGAGATGAGAATATAGTTACAAATATTCCTTTTCCCTTTCCCCAAGCCCATTCTTTCCCCTCAAGGAGACACCATCCTAGCATCCCTTAGGAAAGTGAGGGAAGAGAAAGGATGCTGTAAGGAGTCAATTCTTGGGTCCTCAGGGTGTGGCTTTTTGATACATTAAGGTCTTTATTTCCTCTTTTCTCAGAGGTATGTAAGTAAACCCTTCTGGTGAAGGTGAAGTAGAGAGCAGGTAATAGAGAAAAAACGTGGGAGAGGGACCAGTGGGGCCAGTGAAGGTTAACTGCCATTCTCTTGAAAGAGAGAATTCTAAGATGAGGGTGGGGTTGGGGCAGTGAGGAGGGCTCCTCATTCAGAAAGGTGCTCTTCACTGGTTCCCACATAACCTAACTCCATGGAGAGTCCTGGACTCCATCCCAGAGGCCTCCTTTCTCTTCCAGACAATCTCTGGTTGCACATTTGGGGGCATCATCCGGCTCAGTTCGGGAAGAAAGTTTTCCACGGATCCTACACCACCCTATACTCTCCCTAGGAGAACCCTCTACTGTCCCCCAACCCACTTCTCCACTTCAAAAGAAGTCCCTCCCTGCTCTCTTCCGGTCCCTGGACTGTTACTCGCCTGTTGGGGTGGGGGACAGTCAAGGAGCTCCCTAGTTAGGAGTCCTGGGTACAGAGGCCACTCACGTGTCCAGGCGGATTTTCTTAAGCGCTACCACTTCTCCCGTCAACTTGTTTCTGGCCTTGTACACAACTCCGTACGTGCCCTCTCCGATCTTTTCCACCTTTTGGAAGTTCTCCATGAAGCGCAAGCGAGTCGGGTCAGCCCGGCCCTGGAGCGGGGGCCCGGGAACTCTGCTGAAAGCGGGCCCGGCTCTCTGGGGCCAAGGAGGGGGAAACAGGGCCAAGCACCTTGGCCCCAGGTCGCGATGGAACGCAGCGTATCTCTCGCTCTGGTCAATTTGTCCAACTTGAAACAATGTTGCCGCCTGCCCCCCAGTTCCCGACCTCCACCAGAGGCTCCTCCCCTCCTTCCCGCGTTTCCCTGGCCCCGCCCCTAGACCTTCCTATTGGTCAGCGTCAGAGGGGGCGGAGCAATCCCTTGCTCCTCGCCGCCGTGACCCCGCCCCGTGCAAGTTTGGTTCTGAGGGGCAAGACAAGTTTCTTTCTCCGTGGGGCAGCTGAACACCTTTTCCCAAGTATCTCCTTTAGTTTCGAGTTTCCTACCTGTGTCTCTAGTCTGCAGGGATTCCTTCATCTCTGTTTTCACCACCACCCCTGGGGAAAATGTGCACTGACCTAAGATTAAATTCCACCCGGTCCAGGGAGTCTAATTGTAAAGGATTCCTCGACCTCTGAGAAGTGTTGCCTCCGCCTCTCAGCCTACCCCAGTGCTGTCTGTCTCTGGTTTTGGATGCAGAGTTCTGTTTCTGTCTTTTAATAAGTTCCCGACTTGATTAATTCACTCCCCCATGATGAATTGCGAGTGTCTCGTGTGCGTTCCGTGGCTGCCTTTCAGTCAACTCTTGCCCCGGGAATGGAGTGTGTCAAGATGAGAGTAACCCAGTGAAACCAGAAACTGACATTGATTAGTGGGATGGGAAAGGAACGTCCAAGGACCCAGGATTCCTTGTCAGTTCTTCCTCTTTCCTGCCCTATGGCCCCTCCCAGGCCTCCCCTGGAGGGAGAAGAGGAAGGGCTATGCAAATTAGCACCCCTTTGTTATATAGGGGCTTATCCCAGCCCCCCCAGTACCTTTGGTTGTTGGAGGGAAGAACAGGATGGATCTGGTGCTGAGAAGGTGCCTTTTCTGTTTGGCTATGATGAGTGCTCTGCTGGCTGTAGGGACTACCGAAGGTGAGTGTGGGTACGTGGGCGTGGATGGTGAGTAGGTGTGAATTTGGGGATGAACACCTACTCTGGTTTTCTCCCTCCTAATGGGAGATACCAGCACTTCAGGCTTCTCCCACCCATTTGATTTAGTGAGGATGTGGGCATCTGAGCTCTTTCCCTACATGGAGATTTGGAATTGAGCCTGGAAATAACCTCACATGTTTGGAGAGACAGGAGGATAGTAGGTCTTTGTGGCACTAACTCTGACGCCCCCTTGGCAGTGAGCTGGAGCAGGGACTCCAAAGGAGTGAAATGGGTGGGAGACTATTTTATTTTAGGTAATGTCTCAAGCACTTGGGGCATGGAATTTAAAGTGGGGAGTAAGAGAATGTGGTATTGGATAAGAAGGCTTAGGAGATACCATTTTCCCCCCTTGGGATATAGATGGGGGAACACAGCCCAGGCCTTTTGTTCTGGGGCTGGGAGAGACAGGCAGAGGGGTCTCAGCTGAGCATCACATGAAAGAGCTCTGGGAGATTGGGGCCGCGTGACAGGAGCAAGGGGCGGGAGGGGGGTGGTGAGAGGGTCTGGAATGTCACGTGCTGCTCTGAAGAGGGAGGGTTGGAAGTGGAGAAAAGATTGGGGCATCTTATGACTTCTCTTGCTCTAGTGATGGGATGCTCAATGAGATGATTCCAACTCCTTCCCCAGCAGCCTCAACTAGGTTTCCAGCCCACAGTAGACATGGGGTGAGAATATATGAAATATATTCATCCTATCCCAGTCCCCCTTCCTCTCTAGATCCCTGGTCTCAAAGACTTCTAGGAAGTTCTTAATCTGACTTCCCTCACGGTGCTGCAGTTTCAAGTCTTTTTCTTTTACTATGTTCCTTAACATATTCTGGAAACAGTCTGTTCACACTCACCCACCTGAGGCTCTTAAAAGATTGTGCTTACATTTTGGATCCTGATTTTAAAAATTATAAGAGGCCGGGTGTGGTGGCTCCCGCCTGTAATCCTAGCACCCTGGGAGGCTGAGGCGGGCGGATTGCTCGAGGTCAGGGAGTGTAAAACAGCTGAGCACGGTGAGACCCATCTCTACTAATAAATAAGAAAGAAATTAATTGGCCAACTAAAATATATATAGGAAAAATTAGCCGGGCATGGTGGCAGATGCCTGTAGTCCCAGTTACTTGGGAGCTGAGGCAGCAGGATGCTTGCGCCCAGCAGTTTGAGATTGCTGTGAGCGAGGCTGACGCCATGGAACTCACTCTAGCCTGGGCAGCAAAGTGAGACTCTGTCTCAGAAAAAAAAAAAAGACATTTTTCTTTTTTATTTAAATTTTATTTTAGCGTATTATGGGGGTACAAGTGTTAAGGTTACATATATTGCCCATTCTCCCTCTCCTTGAGTAAGGCCTTCAAGCGTGCATCCACCCCCAAACGTTGCAGATCTTACTCTGGTTTATATACCATTCCCTCCTCCCCACAAGAAGACATTTTTCTAGAAGCTGATGCAATTTTATATGGACTGAGTTTGATAATTTTGTCTAGTGTGAATGACATGGTGCCTTATGAAGAAAATATTCATATTTTTTACGCATACACTGCTGAATTTGTAGGGTTAAAATAACAGATGGGGGCCGGGTACAGTGGCTCATGCCTATATACCTAGCACTCAGGGAGGCTGAGGTAGGAGGATTGCTTGAGCTCAGGAGTTGAGACAGCACGAGCAAGAGGGGAGACCCATCTCTCCTAAAATAGAAAATTAGCTTGAGCACTTACTCGGAGACCGAGGCAAGAGGATTGCTTGAGCCCGAGGAGTTTGAGTTGCTGAGAGCTAGGCTGACTACATGGCACTCTACTCGGCAACAGAGTGAGACTCTGTCTCAAAAAATATGAATAAATAAATAAATAAGAGTCCAGGGATTTTGTTTCTAAATACTTTAGCCACTCTACTGCCTACCCCTAAAACCAAAAGCAAACCAATAAGGATATAATTGCAAGCAATGTGGCAAATGTTATATTTTATTTATTTTATTATTATTATTTTTTTGAGACAGAGTCTCACTCTGTTGCCAGGCTAGAGTCCATGGCGTCAGCCTAGCTCACAGCAACCTCAAATCCTGGGCTCAGCAATCCTTCTGCTTCAGCCTCCGAGTAGCTGGGACCACAGGCATGCACCACCATGCCTGGCTAATTTTTTCTATATATTTTTTAGTTGGCCAATTAATTTGTTCTCTACTTTTAGTAGAGACAGGGTCTTGCTCCTTGCTCAGGCTGGTTTCGAACTCTGACCTCGAGCACATCCGCCGCCTTGGGTTTCCGACAAATATATGATAATTTTGGATCTGGGTGAGGGCATATGGAGGTCGTCACATATCCTCTTGTTTTCCCCTTAGACTTCTCTCGGTTCAGTTAATAATTTGGCTTCTCATCCTCAATCCTCAATCTCTGCCTGCTTCTAATCCATCCTCCTCACTGCTTGCCGTGTGATATTTCTAAAACATAAATTTGATCATACTTCAAAAACTTCTGATGAGTAAATTTGTGGTATGTGAATTATAGGTCAATTTAAAACAAATGAAACAATAACTATCAGAGGTGGCCTTGCCTTACAGGATACTTAGCTGGCACTCAAAGTTCCAACCATCTTCTCAGCTCATTTCCACAGTGTCACTCAACCACACTGTTAGAATGCCCCTACAAGCCATGTCCTCCACGTCCTCCATGCATTTGCTCATGCTGGTCTAGAGTCAACTCTCTGAAGTCTTTCCAATCAGCTAGAATGGAATGGAATGAATTCATATTTAATCTGTTATCTGTTGTACTACATGTAATGTCTGTTCACGCACATATTAAACAGTGTCTTGAATTATATTAATTATGTACATGTCTAATTTCCTATACTTCACTTGAATCCTTCAGAGCATCATACCTTTTTTTTTGTTTTGTTTTGTTTTGTGACAGAGTCTCACTTTGTTCCCAGGCTAGAGTGGAGTGCCTGGCATTAGCTAGCTCACCAGCCAACACTCGAACTCTTGGCAAGCAATTCCTCCTGGCCTCAGCTCCACCAGTACTGGGACTACAGGCTGTGCCCCACCACGCCCAGCTAATTTTTTCATATAAGTACTTAGCTTGGCCAATTAATTCTTCTGTTTATAGTAGAATGGGGTTCGCTCTTGCTCAGCTGGTTCAACTCCTGACTTGAGTGATCCCACCTCGTCCAGAGTGGGCTAGGATTACAGGCGTGAGCCACTGCGCAGGGCCCAGAGCCATATCTTATGCATTTCTTAAGTCCTTTGTACCTAGAACACTGGTACCTGGTAGGTATTCAGTGAATTAAAATGCACTTTGAATGTGAAAGTGGGTGGAGTGATATGGGAGAGAGTATTATCCCCTGAGAAGGGACTGAGGGAGGAACCTAGGGCCCTCATGACACATTTCTTTTAGGACTCAGAGACCAGGACTGGCTTGGTGTCTCAAGGCAGCTCAGAACTAAAGCCTGGAATAGGAAGCTATATCCAGAGTGGACAGAAGTCCAGGGACTTGACTGCTGGAAAGGTGAGAACTTAGAAGTTCCAGGGGAAGGCATGGTGGGAATGGGATGAGAAGAGCAAGAAGAACTGGGTTGAATGTAGTTTGGGAAGATAGGTAGAGGAAGCATAATGGGGGAGGGGAAGCCAAGGAATCCCAACTAATGCAGCTTCCTTCCCAGGTGGTCAAGTGTCGCTGAAGGTTAGTAATGATGGGCCTACACTGGTTGGTGCAAATGCTTCCTTCTCTATTTCCCTGCACTTCCCTGGAAGCCAAAAGGTACTGCCCGATGGGCAGGTGATCTGGGCCAACAACACCATCATCAATGGTGAGTACCTCTCTACTCTAGGCCCTTATAGCTCGGGCTCAGGGCCCTTGGTATCCCCAATGAACTCAGGGAATGCCCCCTTCCTCCTCCACATTTTTCCAGCAAATTATGTATGTAATATATACTCATTGTATTAAAATTAGAAAACACAGGCCGGGCGCGGTGGCTCGCGCCTGTAATTCTAGCATTCTAGGAGGCTGAGGCAGGAGGATTGCTCAAGGTCAGGAGTTCAAGACCAGCCTGAGCAAGAGTGAGACCCCGTCTCTACTATAAATAGAAAGAAATTAATTGGCCAACTAATATACATGGAAAAAAATTAGCCGGGCATGGTGGCGCATGCCTGTAGTCCCAGCTACTCAGGAGGCTGAGGCAGGAGGATTGCTTGAGCCCAGGAGTTTGAGGTTGCTGTCAGCTAGGCTGACGCAATAGCACTCACTCTAGCCTGGGCAACAAAGTGAGACTCTGTCTCAAAAAAAAAAAAGAAAGAAAGAATCTAGACAACTAAAAATATATAGAGAAAATTAGCCGGGCATGGTAGCACATGCCTATAGTCTGAGCTACTTGGGAGGCTAAAGTAGGAGGATCGCTTGAGCCCAGGAGTTTGAGGTTACTGTGAGCCAGGCTGATGCCACAGCACTCACTCTAGCCTGGCCAACAAAGCGAGACTCTGTCTCAAACAAAACAAAACATAGATAAAACAAAAAGAAAAGAAAATTACAGTCCTTAAAATGGGGGACAGTGAAATCCAGTGGACCTAGAAGTTGGACAGACCCTAGGTTTAAACTTGTCACTGTCTTGGCCTCTTTTGCTATGCCGGAAAAAATAAAAAATAAAAATAAATAAATAAACTTGTCACTGGTATGTGATCCTGGGCCATCTGGCCCTTGGTCTCAGAGGAGAAGTTTTATTTATGTCTGGAAGACCTGGGCAAGAGCAAGTTACTTGATTTTTTGCTTCTATTTCCAAAGTATAAAGGGATTGTTGTAAGGATTAAAATGTGATAATGGCCAGGTGCAGTTGCTTATGCCTATAATCCCAGCACTTAGGGTGGCTAAGGTGGGAAGATTCCTTGAGCCTAGGAGTTTGAGACCAGCCTGAGCAACACATTGAGACCCCACGTCTACAAAAAAACAGAAAAATTAGATGGGTGTGGTGGTGCATACCTGGAGCCCCAGCTACTCAGGAAGTTTAGGTAGGAAGATTGCTCAAGCCCAGGAGTTTGAGGCTATGATGATGCACTGCACTCTAGTGCAGATAGTATAGTGAGACCCTGTCTCAAAAAAAGACAAAAACAAAAGCAAAATAATGATGATATGTAAAGTACTTAACATACGGTCTGCTCTAGCCTACAGTAAAGTCTCAATAAATGTTATCTAGTGCTGTTATTGTTATTTTTAATTTTATCCCACTAGCTAGAGCAAATCACTAACTTTTTTTTTTCTTTTGAGACAGAGTCTCACTCTGTTGCCCGGGCTAGAGTGCTGTGGCGTCAGCATAGCTTATAGCAACCTCAAACTCCTGGGCTCAAGTGATTCTCCTACCTCAGCCTCCGGAGTAGCTGGGACTACAGGTGTGCGCCACCATGCCCAGCTAATTTTTTCTATGTATTTTTAGTTGGCCAATTAATTTCTTTTTATTTTCAGTAGAGATGGGGTCTCACTCTTGCTCAGGCTGGTTTCAAACTCCTGACCTTGAGCAATCCACCCACTTCGGCCTCCCAAAGTGCTAGGATTACAGGCATGAGCCACCATGCCCGGCCCAAATCACTAACATTTTGATATATGGCTTTCCAATCTTTTCCCTATGTAAGTATTAATATATACATATGACTCTTAAATTATAGTTTCCACACACCCAACTACCACCTCAAATTGGTTATACCATGGAGAATGTACAGTCTAGATAGGGAGTATTCCCAGAGCCTCTCTCTGATCCTCTAGGAGAAATTTTAGAGGTTTTGGTATATACTAAAGAATGCCAGGGTTTGAGGGTGACTCTGTATTTACCTTTCAGGGAGCCAGGTATGGGGAGGACAGCCAGTGTATCCTCAGGAACCTGATGATACCTGCGTCTTCCCTGATGGTGGACCCTGCCCATCTGGCCCTTGGTCTCAGAGGAGAAGTTTTATTTATGTCTGGAAGACCTGGGGTGAGTGACTCCTTTCTCTGGCCTGTCATCCACACTTGTATTTGCCTCTTTGTACCTGATCATCTTTCATTTTGGCTTCACCCTGTAACTTCTGTGACTTACCTTTATCTTCATTTTCCTCTTGGCTCCTTCCTCTTCCATAGCATCTAGCTCCCTTCAACTCTCTCTGTCATAATTCTGTCTGGTAGCTCCTCTCCAACTGTGGTCCCACCCCACAGAACCGCCCCATTTAGACCCCTTCCCTGTACCCCCCCATACCACAGCCTTCCAAATACCCTCAGAAGTGATCATCCTCCTGACCTCCCTTCTCCAATGCCCTATTTCTAATCCTGCCCCTCAGTCTCCTTTAACCAGTACTTCTTCCTCCCTGCTTCTCATTCCAAAAACCTCAGGCCAATACTGGCAAGTTCTAGGGGGCCCAGTGTCCGCGCTGAGCATTGGGACAGGCAGGGCAATGCTGGGAACACACACCATGGAAGTGACTGTCTACCACCGCCGAGGGCCCCGCAGCTACGTGCCCCTTGCTCACTCCAGCTCAGCCTTCACCATTACTGGTAAGGGTTTAGGAAGAGGCAAGGCTAGTTATAGGTGGGGAGAAGGTGGGGAAGCTTGGCTGGACTGGAAAGGGGAAGGGGAAATGTGTGCAAATGTAAAGGGGCAGCCTCAGGAAGACCTTGGCAGAGAAATGTGGGGCTTAAAAGGCCAGTCAGTCAGCTTGGGGTTAGGGAGTGTGGCTGTGAAGGGAGAAGCTGTGGCCCAGGCCTGGCTCACATCTTTTCTGTCTCCAATCCCAGACCAGGTGCCTTTCTCCGTGAGTGTGTCACAGCTACAGGCCTTGGATGGAGGAAACAAGCACTTCCTGAAAAAGCAACCTCTGACCTTTGCCCTCCAGCTCCATGACCCCAGTGGTTATTTAGCTGGAGCTGACCTCTCTTATACCTGGGACTTTGGAGACAGTACAGGGACCCTGATCTCTCGGGCACTTGTGGTCACTCACACTTACCTGGAGCCTGGCCTAGTCACTGCCCAGGTGGTCCTGCAGGCTGCCATTCCTCTCACCTCCTGTAGCTCCTCCCCAGTTCCAGGCACCACTGATGGGCATATGCCAACTGCAGAGGCCCCTGGCACCACAGCTGGTCAAGTGCCTACTGCAGAAGGCAGAGGTACTACACCTGATCAGGTGCCAACTACAGAGCCCCCTGGAACCACAGCTCTGTGGGTGCCAACCACAGAAGTCATAGGTACTACACCTGTGCCAGTGCCAACTACAGAGGGCACAGGTACAACACTTGAGCAGTTGCCTACCTCAGAGGTCATAGGTACCACATTTGCAGAGATGTCAACTACAGAGGCTATAGGCACAACACCTGCAGAGGTGTCAACTGCAGAGCCCTCTGGAACCACAGTTGCACAGGTAACAACTACAGAGTTGGTAGAGACCACAGCTGGAGAGTTAACCACCCCTGAGCCTGAGAGTCCAGGTGCCAGCCCAATCATGCCTACAGAAGATATCACAGGTAAGAGAACCAGTGTGAGTGAGGTTCATTGAGGTGGGATATTTGTCATTGCTCTATTCTGAAAGTCTTACCCAGGACCCAGATGTTACCTAGTCCTTTGCTTAGCACTATGGTCCCCTCAGAGCTCTCAGTGGCCTGGCTATAAAGCCCTCGAGTCTTTCTTAATGACACGGAATAGATCTGGAGTTCAGGAAACCAGGGTCTTCCCTTAGGCCACAAGGAGATAGCTTGTTGCTTCTCTACCACTGAGGGTGTCTTCCCTGGTGGCCTAGTGATTAGGATTTGGCACTCTTTCTACCACTGAGGAGAACTATTCCAAAGGACAGGGAACAGACTGGCCATTCACATAATATTTATATTTCATTTTCTGCTCAAGTATAAATGCACAGAAATTTTTCCTAGATTCTGGGATGTCCATCCTCCCATTTTCCACCCCTGTATTCCCATCCCAAAGCAAAAAGGGAGGAATGAGATAATGATGCTTACATGAGTTAACATGTTGAATGTCTAGTCCAGGATCTGGCACAGTATGGGGCATAGTAAACATTTGAGGATTTTTTTTAAAACTCCAATTCTGTCCCTAACTGTGCGACTCTGTAGTAGTCAGTTTTCTTCTTCTGTTTCCTTATCTATAAAATGAGATTTCCCACATCTTATCTAATCCTAAGCCAGTGACTTCAGGATCCAGTAGTTCTGGGTCAACCTGGAAAGATGCCTGCTTGGCCTCTGCCTCTGGGTGAGTCATCTTTCTTGATCTTGCCTCCTCAATCCTCTCCTGCCAGGTTCCCTGAGCCCCATGCTGGATGGTACAGCCACCTTGAGGCTGGTGAAGAGACAAGTCCCCCTGGATTGTGTTCTGTATCGATATGGTTCCTTTTCCCTCACCCTGGATATTGTCCGTGAGTCTTGTCTACTTTGGGGGCTGATGGAGGGAGGTATGTGCTGCCTAAGGCAGGTCAGTGGAAGCATACTTTGGGAGGAATGACTTACCTAAACAGACAGGAAGAATATTCAAATGCCAGGGTCCTCTTTTGAAGGCACCGGGATGGGATTGGTGGAACAGCCCTAGGGCTTTCCTGTCTATGGGCTTTTAGGGAGGCGTGGTAGAGGAATCCCAACTTATAATCATGCAACTCTGCAGAAGGTATTGAAAATGCTGAGATCCTGCAGGCTGTGCCATCCAGTGAAGGGGATGCATTTGAGCTGACTGTGGCCTGCCAAGGCGGGTGAGTGTACCACTGGTTGCCCTGGTAACTCTTGGGTTGACTGTTGACTGGTTCTCTGGTATCCAGTGTCCCTTCCCAGATCTCCCAATATAAGCTGATACCTCTTTTAGGCTGCCCAAGGAAGCCTGTATGGACATCTCATCACCAGGGTGCCAGCCTCCTGCCCAGCGGCTGTGCCAGCCTGTGCCACCCAGCCCAGCCTGTGAGCTGGTCCTGCACCAAGAACTGAAGGGTGGCTCAGGGACCTACTGCCTCAATGTGTCTTTAGTTGATGCCAACAGCTTGGCAATGGTCAGCACCCAGCTTGTCATGCCAGGTAGGTACTTGGACAAGAGCTAGGGTGAAGAAGGGGCGTGGGCAGAGGCCAGCTAGCAAGGAGCAGACACTGACTAATACAGTATCTCGGATTCTGTTCACAGGTCAAGAAGCAGGCCATGGGCAGGTTCCCCTCTTTGTGAGCGTCTTGCTGGTGTTGATGGCTATGGTGCTTGCATTTCTGATATATAGGTAAGGGCTCCACCATCCAGCTCAGACATTCTTATCCCTCCATTACCATTATTCACTCTTTCTCAAGGGGAGAAGGAACTACCACTCCCTTTGAGGAAGCATGGTGTCCTAGAAAGAGCCCAAGCTTGGCAGTTGGACAGGCCTGGGCTGTGGTCTTGCTGTGGGGCCTTGGGAAAATAGCTTAACCTTTCTGAGCCTCTGAAAAGTAGGAAAACTAGTATCTTCTCTGTGGGGCTGTTGTAAAGATTAGACAGAATGTGAGTAAAGCACCTGGCTCTGAAGCAAAAGTGTAATAATTGATGATATTAATGACTATTGTCAATAATATTAAGTGTGGGGGCCAGGTGCAGTGGCTCACGCCTGTAATCCTAGCACTCTGGGAGGCCAAGGCAGGCGGATCGCTTGAGGTCAGGAGTTTGAAACCAGCCTGAGCAAGAGCAAGACCCCGTCTCTACTAAAAATAGAAACAAATTAATTGGCCAACTAAAAATATATAAGAGAGATGGCGGACAATCCTTGCTCCTCGCGCCGTGACCCGTGCAAGTTGGTTCTGAGGGCAAGACAAGTTCTTTCTCCGTGGGGCAGCTGAACACCCTTTCTCCAAGTATCTCTTATTCGAGTCCTACTGTGGTCCAGTCGCAGGATTCCTCAATCCTGTTTTCACACAACCTGGGGGAAAAGTGCAACTGACCTAAGATTAAATTCCACCCGGCCAGGGAGTCTAATTAAAGGGATTCCCGACCTGAGATGTGTGCCGCTAACACACCCCCCCCCCCCCCCCCCCCCCCCCCCCCACCAAACCCCCACAACCCTAACACCCCCACAAACACCAACCCCCGAACCCCCCCACCGCCCACCACCCATTCACTAAGACCTGTTCTGGAATTTAAAAAACATTGATTAATTCACTCATGTGCGAGTGGTTGGGTTTAGTGAACACCCCTGCCCCTTCAGTCAACTCTTGCCCGAAAAAAAGCATGAGAGTAACAGACAATTGATAGTGGGATGAGAAAGGAACGTCCAAGGACCCAGGATCCTAATCCGTTCTTCCTCTTCCTGCCCTAGGCAACCAGGCCTCCTGGAGGGAAGAAGAGGAAGGGCATATGCAAATTACGCCACCCCTTTGTTAATAGGGGCTTAATCCAGCCCAGTACCTGGTGTTGGAGGAGAACAGGATGGATCGTGCTGAGAAGGTGCCTTCTGTTTGGCTAGAGAGTGCTTCTGCTGGCTGTAGGACTACGAAGTAGTGTGGTACGGGGCGGGATGGGTAGGTGTGAATTTGGGGATGAACACCTACTCTGGTTTCCCTCCTAATGAGATACCACACTTCAGCTTCTCCACCCATTTGATCTAGTGTAAGGATGTGGGCATCTGAGCTCTTTCCCTACATGGAGATTGGATTGAGGCCTGGAAAACCTCACATGTTGAGGACAGGAGGATAGTAGGGTCTGTTTGTGGCACGAACTCTGACGCCCCTTGGCAAAGTGAGCTGGAGCAGGGACTCCAAAGGAGTGAAATGGTGGAGACTATTATTTAGGTATGGTCTCAAGCACTGGGCATGGAATTAAAGTGGAGTAAAGAATGTGGATGGATAAGAAAAGGGCTAGGAGAATACATTTCCCTGGGATATAGCTGGGGAACACAGCCCAGGCCTTTTGTTCGGGGCTGGGAGAAGACAGCAGAGGGGTCTCAGCTGAGCATCAACATGAAGAGCTCTGGGAGACTTGGGCCGCGTGACAGGAGCAAGGGGCGGGAGGGGGGTGGTGAGAGGGTCCGGATGCACGTGCTGCCCTGAAGAGGGAGGTGGAATGGGAGAAAAGATTGGGCGCATCTTATGACTCTCTGCCTACGGTGGATGGATGCTCAATGAGATGATCCACCATTCCCAGCAGCCTCAACTAGGTTCCAGCCACAGTAGACATGGGGTGAGAATATATGAAAGTAATTCACCTAATCCAGTCCCCTTCCCTTCTAGATCCTGGTCTCACAGACTCTAGGAAGTTCTTAATCTGACTTCCACCTCATGGTGCTGCAGTTTCAAGTTCTTTTCTTTTACTATGTTCCTTAACATATTCTGGAAACAGCTGGTCACACTCACCCACCTGAGGCTCTTAAAAGATTGTGCTTTCTTTGGGATCCGATTTAAAAATTATAAGAGGCCGGTGTGGGGGCTCCGCCTGTAATCCTAGCACCCTGGGAGGCTGAGGCGGCGCGATTGCTCGAGGTCAGGAGTTCAAAACCAGCCTGATCAAGAGTGAGACCCATCTCTACTTATAAATAGAAAGAAATAATGCCAACTAAAAATATAATAAGAAAAATTAGCCGGGCAGGTGGCACATGCCTGTAGTCCAGTTACTGGGAGCTGAGGCAGCAGGATGCTCGCGCCCAGGAGTTTGAGATTGCTGTGAGCTAGGGCTGACGCCATGGAACTCACTCTAGCCCTGGCAGCAAAGGGAGACTCTGTCTCAGAAAAAAAAAAAGACATTTTTCTTTTTTATTTAAATTTATTTAGCGATATTATTGGGGTACAAGTGTTAAGTTTACATATATTCGCCATTCTCCCTCCTCCGAGTAAGAGCTTCAAGCGTGGTCATCCCCCAAACGTTGCACATCTTACTCTTGGGTTGTAATATACATCTCCTCCCA